CGCTCTTCCTCCTCTGTTTTTCACCAGAACCAGAGACAACAACAGAATAAAGCCAGAAACTTCATCCGAAATGCTTCAAAGTTAATTGATTTAAGTAGTTTCATAGGTTAAAAGGTTTGAACTTTATGTGATTGTGTTTATAGACAGATTACTCGAAAGGTTTAGGGAAATGGGTTTGTATGGATATTGAGAATTCGAGAGACTCACGAGGCAAATTGGGTTTGAAATCGACGGTGAGCTGGACCGGGACCAAGCTTCCTTCATCCGACACAGTAGCAAGTACAGCGCGAGAGTCGCCTACGTTTGCTACATAAAGAAGTTCACCCTGGAGGACACAAAATGAAAAAAAGTTTGAATCTTTACCGTCAAAAAACCGACCAGCCACAACATTTTCCGAGGTTTTTCAGTATGTTCTGGAGATTTTTTCACCTGTCTGACAATGGTGAGAGCGGTGGTTCCGCTGTAGAAAGAATCGATCTTGCGGTGATGTTCAAGCTCCTGATCAACTGAGGCGCAAGTCTTGAGGTATGAACGTTTCCATATGTTGAACCGCTGAAGCTTTTCGTCAGATGTGTCGAGTTCGAGCTCAGGGTCAACTGCTGTTTGAGCTAGAGTCTCCTGCCAGTTGCGGAGCAACAATGGCGGCAAAGAGTTCCGTACTTGTTTGGCCACGAAATGACCCCACGGACCGTGCCCATCAAATATCCCGCAGAAGATCATATCTTCTTGGCACCCGAATTCCTGTTCATCGATCAAAAAACTTTGAATGATTGTACGTAAATCCGATCTTTTGGAGAGTTCGGTGAGAAACATTTACCTTCCATACGATGGCACAGTCTTGGTTAACGCCTTTCTCGCCGCGTTTGGAGAAAACCGAGGCCAAGTTGTTCAAGCCGTCAGCGTAAAGGTAACCAGAAGATCGCAGGATCAGTTCGTTCTTCTTCGCCTCTCTCACCATTTCATCTGCCGCCACCTTCCCGTCGCTGCCGCCATTGCTGCTCTTAACTTTCTTGATCGAGAAGGATCGAGCCAAGCCGTTGAACATGGAAGAAAAATGCCCCATCTCCAAGGAAAGATCAAAACTTTGGAGAAAAATTCTCGTTCTCTCTCGAGATTTCTCCCTTGCTGATCCTGGATCAGAAAAAATATGAACTTTAGATCCTTGAGAGGATTTATCAGATCAATATTTTGGTTTATACGTGTATGAATATGAATATAATGAAATAGCAAGAGGGGTATATAATATTGTGAAACAGAGGAGCCTAGTGTATTAGCTTTAGTAGTGAAGGCGGTGTTTTGTAATTACTCGGCCATTTTCCTGCAGATTCTTTTCCCAGGAAACAAACAGAGGGGTAGAAAGGAAGGATGATGACTCACAGTTTCAGAAGCTAAGGTATTTAATAACTGTAAAAAGACAGAGATCAATGTAAGAGAATATTCATGTCTGACATGGAATTCCATCAACACAACCATGCTTCTGTGTTCACAAAAGGATTATAAAAATAAAACTCCATTAAAAAAATGCCCAGAAATCATTTTCAGAGCTTTGACAGTGATAATCCCGAGAATTTTAGGAAATATGATATAGTCTGAGTGGAAGGGGAATCAAATTTTGTCTCTCGAGTAACAAATCTGAGATCTTAATAAGGAAATGAGAACATGTTGCAAGATTTGAAGATTCTCCTCTCTTTGCTTTTCCGGGAAAATAAGCAAAAAAAACCCCACTACCTGAGAAAATCTGGAAAACCAAAATCGAAACCCCATTATCCTCTTTGACTAATTTTCCCTTTCGAAGCAAAAGAACGAGGACTTTCTCGGCATGCTCAACACAAATGGAATGATTACCAAAAGAAACGAACATAAACCCAATAGATTTACTTAAAAAAAAAATCATCTGCTTTTTGAATTTTAAACAATAAACTATGTCGAAGCTTTTCAGATTCAAGCAAGAAACGAGGCGAAACCCACCCAAGATAACAACAAATCTTTTTTTTTCCGTGGAATCACTTCATTACTCCGAGGTCGCACGGTAGACTAAAAAAGAAGGCAAATTCCAAGAAATTGTACAAAAAAAAAATTGCAAAATCGTGTACCTAATTGCGTGCTTAAACAAAAGGTCGCATCTTTTACATCGAAATTATAAAGTTGGGATTTTTTTTTTAAATCCGAATTCAGAAAGGAAAAAATTATGGGGAAAAAAATCATAGAAAGCGCAATAAAACAAAGGGGTTTCTGGAAGAAGCTCGAAACATCATATTCTTTCTCACGTTTCTCCAGTTTTCCTACTAACCGAACAGATTCTCTCAAAAGACAGAGAAATATTAGAGAAGAGTTTGCGAATTTATAGAGATTTTCACGGAGCTCTGCGTAATTTCATCCAAAAATCTGACAAATTCGGGTAGAAAATCGATTCCTTAAAAGCAAGTTGATTTTTTTCCCAGCGTATGATTCAGAAGAGCTAAAAAGAAGTAGAACTCAACAGAAAATGTCTGAAAAGACTGGAACATTCTGATCTTTCGTCTTCATTCTTTCCGTTTTGATCTTCGTTCTCCGTTAGGCATTCTCGTTTTCCCAGTAACCAAACAGATTAAATGTACACAACTGGGGAAACGAGAGAGAGAGAGAGAGAGAGAGACCTTTGATATGATCTCGAGGGATCAGAAGGACGACAGCGAACGCCGGGAAGATGACGTAAGCTTGGGAAAGATGACGTAAAACACACCGGAGAAGAAGCTAACCAAGGGAAA